CCGAAAGTGAGTACCATATATCTAAGTTCATGAGATCAATCAATTAAATGATTTAGTTAAAGAAATAACTAAACATGATAATAAACTAATTTTCGAAAAAACAGGGTCTCTATACGTAAAAACTTGTTGATCATGACGGCTTCGAATTTACAACAAGCGCATACATCGTAACATACATACTCCCTTTCTACTTAAGCAGCACTACAAAAATGGACATGTACGTTGAACGGGCAAAGGTCTAATCAGTCACTGTGAGACTCCTGTTGCCTTGTGAAACTGCCTTGTTTGATCGATATACATGTACTGGAAGTGCTACACACAAAGTTTGAGTATAAATCCTACTAAAAATACAAGCTTAAAATACAAGTTCAATGATCTTAAAAAACCGCTGGTGGCTGTATCTTAGGAATAGAGCTCCAAACACTCAGTAAATTTGTTAAAATGCTTTTTTCGAATTAATAGAGAGATTCTACTATATCAGATATCGTTAGTGGCTCATTGGTCTATGAGTAGCTTACAGGCAGTTCGAATTATTCTAACCTAACTTAATTTCGAATACGCTAAAGATCCAAACATTTATAGCCAATGTGAAATAGGTGGTTCTCTTGAATTACTTTTGAAGAGAAAGTTATCACTTTTAAGCATTTGTTGACAGCTACTTTTGAAGCATCTTAGGAAGTTATTGGTCAAATACTATTCTTTCCACTGATGCAACACTACTGCAATATTGTTTGTTGTCCTACGGATTGAAATAGAGAAAGATATAGAAGCCATTTGGCGTCGTATTACATTGAAGGGAGTTTTAAACCTCATATAGTTTATTTGGATTATTGAAGAGAAAGTGATAACTTTTAAGCATTTGTTGACAGCTACTTTTGAAGCATCTTAGGAAGTTGTTGGTCAAATACTATTCTTTCCACTGATGCAACACTACTGCAACACTACATTGAAGGGAGTTTTAAACCTCCTATAGTTTATTTGGATTATTGAAGAGAAAGTGATAACTTTTAAGCATTTGTTGACAGATACGTTTGAAGCATCTTAGGAATTTGTTGGTCAAATACTATTCTTTCCACTGATGCAACATTACTGCAACATTTTTTGTTGTCCTACGGATTGAAATAGAGAAAGAAATAGAAGCCATTTGGCGTCGTATTACATTGAAGGGAGTTTTAAACCTCATGTAGTTTATTTGGATTATTTTTTCCATAATTTCTCTTAATTTTGTTTAATCTATTTTGATAGCAAAACAACTTGTGTGCAGAAAATAAAGTTTTTCAATTTAAATAAAATGTTATATTTGTTTCGAAAATACAAAAATTTCTTATTTTAGTAAATTGCGAACAAAAGTTTTTATCTCATTGTTGGTAAAAGTAATTAAATATTTTTTGTTAGTTTTAAATAGACACAAACATTCGAGTTAAGTTTTGAAATAGCAAATTTCATTTTACGTATAAGAGCCCAAGTTTTCTTTCTAGGTTCCTTTTTCTGCAAATATTTTTTTATTTAAGAATACATGGAAGAAATGTGTGTAAATGAATTAAAAAGCATTTTGTTTAAATTAACTAAAGTTGAATAAAAATTTATTTCACTTAAAGTAAAATTAAAACTTTTCAACATCCAAAAACTTTAGCACTTTTCCTACAAAGGCAGTACATTTGTGCTGGAGGAGGAGAAACCAGAAGAGTTGAAAAGAAAATTAGTAAACAAAAGTCATTAGTGAGACGGAATGAAGAAAGCTATGGATAAATCTACAATACCAAGCATCATATTTGATTGCAACATTAAAAAGTTTTAGCCAAGTTATTAAAGTTTTGCACATATTTCGATGTTAATCTAGTACAACAGGAAGTCGATCAACTCAATTAAAACTTCCAAAAGGAATTTGTGCAATTTTTGATTAAAGCAACAAATATCATCATATGTTCGTGGAAGACGAAAAGTCGATTGGACAAGAAAACAATTATTACGATTAAAACTTTAATTATGCCAAAGTACTATTTCTTTATCATTGATAATTAAATAAATAATTAAGCTACTTTTGTTTTTTGTTTTAGATTTAGAGTTTTTAAGAAAAACAAGGTAATCTTTCAGCTGCTATTCCAACTGAAACAATCTCAATCCGAAATTAAAGCGGGCCTTAAAAACTTGATGCGTGGGACAATACGTTGTATCTTACAATTATGTATTGCATTTAATATATATTAAACAGAGCATTAGTGATTGTATTGCATACAGCTAAGTGCACTGTAAAGCACAGTTTCAAAATCTCTGATCTACATCATTCATGGTTAGTCAAAATAATCCTTGCATATCGTTTGATTGCTCGATTGCTTGTGTAGGCAGTACCTTTAGATCAAATCCGTGCGGCTTTAAACCCAAAGATCCTGAATATTAATTTCCATCAGTTTCATAAGATTATTATAGAGCGGTTTATCAAGGCAGCTGTTCTCTACTTCCAAAGATATGGACAACTACAGAGCCAATCGAAAGTAAATTCATGTACCTCTGTGTGCTTGCAGCAGTGACAGAAAGTTACTTAACGTGATTATCTGTTATAAGGCCTAAACCTCACGGTGCTATTAATATACGAATCGTTATAATGCGACGATAAATGCCCTATTAGAATTTCCACGAATTCCACCAGTACAAGTTGCAGGCATTCGGTTGGACACAGTTTCCTTCTTGGTTGCGAGTGGTGTTTATCTAAAACCTATGCTGTTCTATGAGACACAATAACCAGTCGAAAAATGTCACTTGACGTCGAATAAATCAATATAGTTATTCTACTCGCGTATATTTGGGTTTTAACTGCATCGGTGGTAGTGACAGAGATCTGCTTTTTAATAAGCCAGAACTCTGCAGTTATTGCTATCAGTCTAGAGGCTTTTTCTATATACATATGTTTATTAACGATAATGTTTGCTAGAAATCGTAACTAGATTCTACTTGTCATACATATTGTAAGATTCTTTCATCTTCATTCCACCATTTGTACAATATCTCTATGAAACAGGTTTTCGTTAAATAATAAATATAAAAGGGATTTAAATATTTCAAATCGAATATCGTCGCAGCCATAAAAAGAATACATATACAGAAATTTGATCAGTACAGCATTTTTTCTCACAGCAAAAATCAGTAAAGCAGATTTATTTGATGAAATTGTGTGTATGACAGTGGTTTAGTGGACTTACCATATTGAGCATGGTACAAATCACATCAAGATATTCAAAAAGGCATTGCAACACACTACATTAAGAACACATTCCTTTCCTATAAATATGCTAAACCACTCAATCAGTGAACATATCACAATATGTTACTTAACGGTAACTTTGATCGACCCTATTATTGCTTTAGAAATCACATTAACCTTTCAAACTAGCAAACTCAATAAAGTTATCTTGAAATTCTTCTATTAAGAAGAATTTTGAAATCTTTCGAGACGAAAAATAACTTACAAAGAATTTCTTTTAGGAATTCGGGATTTCTTTTATAAAAAGCGTGCGGGCACAAAACAGCTTCTTCAAAGCATAAATTGGCCACTTCCTTTAGTTCCGCTAAAGGGAAATCCATCATTAAATGCATTTGCTTTTAATATATTCACTTTTGCAAAAGCGAAGATTTTCAAAAATTCTTATCAGGTCCTGGATGAGATAAAAGAATGCAAAAAATGTAAGCAGATTAATCGAGTTAATTTACACTCCATATAACAATAAATCGGTTTTATTGTTTTTCTTCTAAAATGAATACAACGAATGAGTAAGGAAATAGGATAATCATTTCAGACCTTTTTAAGAAGCCTAATAGCTAAGTACAACTTACAAATGTGCCGCTTCTACAAATGGTATTTTCTTTTGTACCGCTTCCAGTTTCAAATGTTAAAAGCAGGTCTGTATCACCCAGGTTGATTTAAAGTTGAGGAAATAAATTAAACATTTGTAGTTAATGTAAAGTTTACGAGCTTTTAAATTTCTGCATTTGAAAAAGGCTTCAGTGAACAATAAGAAAATTTAAAACAGGATGTGTTCTCTTTACAGTACACAACGAACTTTCTTCTCTGCAGTTTATTTGGTAGATTACATTTGATAGCTTCTGCATGGTAGTTACTGTTGTTGTTTTTCTGAAAAGAATACTTATCGTGCTTTTTAAAACAAACAAACTGCCATGCAGCAGCTATCAAATATAGTTCACCAAATAAACTGCAAAGAAGAAAGTTGCTACCAAATCTACATCGGTACAACTATGATTAAAGACCACAAAAACAACATCAAAGAGAAACTATAGCACTAGCACAACCCATGATGAGCAGCAAACAATCTACAGATTTTGATAAAGTCCATGTAATAGACAGAGAAATGGTAGTCCATAGAAATGGACTAATACTGGAGAGCTTACACATCCAGAAAAATATCCGTAAGACGGTGAACAGATAGAAAGACTGACAATATAAATTGTCAGTATCTGCAATTGTTGCACCAAGACTAGTCTGTTTGTCACTAACCTGTTTTTATGCCCTTCTTTACTGACATATAAATGCCACTATGCAGTTTATAGATTTAGTTATTAAACTCATATGTCCTGAGCGGGAACTCAAGAAAACTTCGAAACGACGGCATTACTAAATAAAATATATTAAAAGTTACACCCAACATGTTTCAATAATATTTGATAGTCCTTACTAAAACCTTTTTCAATTTTAGAAATCAATTTCAGCTCAATTCCTTCGTGCTACGTAGAATAACCTGCTATAGGCTTATTAAATGTATACAAAAATACGTATTTGAACCAAAATAGTATAGAAATAAATTCTTGGTGAAAACTTAGTATTCACAGAGAAATTATTTTTTGTAAGAAATGTTAAATACAAAACTTCAAACAAATTTTTCATTTCAATCTCATAAAACATCTGAGTAAAAATGTTACTCACAACTTAAAATAAAAATAATTAAAATCTTATTTAAAAAGAATAAAATTTTGTGTGTTTGTTAATTGAACATTGAATATAAAAAATAATGATGAAAATATTTATAATATTTTTTGTCATTTCATTGTCGATATTTAAAAAGAAAGCTGCATATCAATTGATCCGAGAAGTTTCCTGATGTTCTTAATCAAAAGGTAAATAAAATTAAATTCTTACGCGATTCCTTCATTAACTAACAAATATCTCAGTACCAAATTTTGATTTTACATTTTGATACAATTCACGGTCGTTGTCGAAACTATTTCTAATAGATAATTGCCGGACGTTCTTAACCTAACGAATGTATTGGCTGATATCCTGCCCTAAGTAGTATCTACACAATAAAATACAATTTGCTCTACCCCTCTGGTGTGAAATTCTATCCAAAAGGGTGTTATGATGGTACAGAATATGGTGAGTGCAGAATATTTAGATTCCATATGCAATACAGACAATCCTTTTTTGATTTAATATATTCCAATTATTCCAATTTATTAAATTTTATATATTTTTTTTAGTTATGCAATAATGATTCACCTTATTTTTACTAAACTGGCAAGAAACTGATTGAAAATGCGAGACGTTCCAAACCTATACTTACTGCGCACAGTTCAGTCTAAGTATAAGCATCAGCAGAAACTCTAGATGCCTTGACGAGATCCACTTAAATATATACTTAGCTTTTGCACAAACAAACCAAAGATTTCATCACTCATCACAACAATCACAAATCTTATTTGAACGTCGTTACGTCGAAGTTGACCATTTAAAAACTGAAAACAGTGCATCCAAACAGTGCCAGTTAATGCGGCAGAAGGTTCAGTTAAATCGGAATGTTCAGTTTGGCTTTTGTGCAAGCCGGAAGCCTTATTAATCATACAATCAAATCAAACCTTTAAGAGATGTTTCAGACTTGGTTAGTATAACACTTGATCACACCATTTTGGTTAACTGACGTAGTAACATTAATATTCTAGGTAGCTTGAAGATAAATTTAATTAAACGCATACTATATTTGTATGCAGTGCTAATACACATCAACTGAAAACAATAAAAACACCCAAGATACCGGTACTTCTGGATTTATACGATGGATCTATTCTGAGTAGTTGTAAATAGTTGTGAAATATATGTATATATATTTATACATACATCTATATATACAACCTATTAGTAATTTCAAAATTCTTTAAAGTGTAAGATCTAATTAAACCAAATAAAATATATTTTGTAATAAATATACATAATGCTCAGAACTGATATTGTTTCACTCAAATAATATTATTTAAAGAACAGGTAGGTATTTCAGTTTTCAAACATTAAAATATCGTTTAACACAACAAAAATTCACATAATTAATTTACACTACGAATATAACATTACCACGTTGATGCGTAATTATACATAATTTGAATAAAATTTATCGTATTTTTGTCGTATATAAAAATAATCCTAGAATATGAAAAACTCGTTGAATTTGGAAGTAATATTGAGTGAGTGCCGCAAACGATCTGTTCGTTATATAGAAATGCATAAGTTTTTTTCAATAAAACAATCGTTGAGAGATGACAAGTTTTAAAAAAATTACTGAATCATTCCATGAATATTGAAATCTGTGTTTAATTTAAGATGCTTTCATTTATCACTACCTCAACAATCTTGCGTTGGAAATAAGTATCCTGTCCTTTTATGATCTATTCATCATACTTATTTCAGCTCCATATCACAAATAGTAATCCTATTCTTAATTAACTGCAGATCGATTGTCAAGCACTCCCAACACCAAACATAATGAAATATGATTGTGTTCAGATGTTAATTATCACTCATTTCATAAATGTTATAAGAATAAATCGACTCCTCAAATTTTTTTATGCGCCCCTATTCAATAACACCACAAATTTTATTGAATTCGGATGCTCCTGTAACGCAATTGTTGTACTATGTGCCGCATAATGATCTCTATGATCATTATTGAGTAACGATTTGAACCAATTGTTCAAATATGGTATATTGGGTTTTAATTTAAATAAGGAAAACTTGAAATTGAAAAATTATTGGATATTATAAAACTTTGTAAAGCCAAATAGGACTTAAGTTCCTATTTTTAAAATAGTGAATAAGTGATTTAAAGTGATTTAAGTGATTTAGCTAAGTTTCCAAATTGATGTTAAGTGTTATTTCTATTTTCATATCCTTGCGCTTGATTAGTTGAAAATGAAGATTCCACACTTAAGCTTAGTTGAAGGACGCATTACATTATTATTGGATTTAAAATAAGTGAGGATGAAATATTAACACGATTGGAATAGAATTAATAACTGGTACACATGATTTACATAATTTGTATTTTTAAAATGTAATTATTTCCATTATTTCATAAATTAATAACAATTTGTTTCATTTAACAATTATTAATAGAAGATTTGTAAGGTAGATAAAAAAAGAGGTGTTAAAGACTTCTTATCTTCCCTAGCTAAAGGTAGACACTAATATATGAGATAAAACATAGTTTAGTCCTCGTCCTCAGAGTCACAGCCGCGAAAGATCATTATAGAGAAGACCCAGTCTCATAACATGTCTCTTTATTATGTAGTGGGTCATCAGCACCAATCCATGGTCCTAAGCAGGTTCCGGTTTAGTTAAAATAGCTGACTGGTACTTTTTTGTATAAATTAGAGCAAGTCAGCTTAGGGATCTGAGAGCAGAATTCGTCAGCCGAGTGTTGCTTGGCTATGGCTAGGCATTTTTGTTTAATTGTAAGTTTAGCTGTTGAAAAAGCAACGGCAATATATGAGAAGTGAATGTTAGGGAAAATGTCAGCCCTGTAATTGCCCGAGATGTCCGTATTATCAGGAACCCAATGTTTTTTTATATTTTAAAAATTTTGTGTTATGAACGCATTTAAAATTTAAAAATAGTTCTTAAACTTTGCTCTAAATTAAGTGTTTTTTAATAACAGTGTTTTATTTTTTGACCATTCAACTTTCATCTTTAATTTCATGGAGCAACTAGGAATAACAGATTGTTCTGAAAGCTTTTCATTCCAATAACCTGATTGGCTTAAATTCATGAAATACATAAGCACTTTTACCTGCTCCAACTACACAATTGAAATCTCATTCTGAAGACTCTTTTTTGATCATATTAATGCTATCATAACTTACGGTCACGCGTAATATATTCCAGACTACTATTTGTAACAAATGGTCTTAATTGATTAAGATTATATTATTTTGAAATAATTTAATAAAAAAAACATTTTAAAATAACTACGAAAAAAAAAAAATTTTATTGCGCGTCAAACTAAAAAAATATTTTCATTAAGAATGAGTTTTGGTTTTGGGTCCATTGTCATCCTAAAGAAATCTTTAATCAAAGTGGTCATCTTTTAAAAAAAATTGTATAAGTTGAATTATGTTTTTGTTGCAAAGCATCGTTGGTATTTTATACATTTATTTTTTGAAACGACTCTTTTTAGCCATGGCTTCGATATTGATAAACTTATTATAAATAGAATCTCCAAGTCACTTTTTCATAACTATTGAGTTATATTAACTCTAATAAAATTTTTATTTCACTGTATTAAGATGTTCCAGGACTTAGGTTAGGTTTGGTTGGAGTGGCGGCCTTGTATATGAAGAAAGCCCACTTGAGCTCAAAATAATGTCCCGTTGTGGTACCACAGGAATGGCGTTGGTTCGTAAATAGACAAGGTGATCAGTATGCGTCCAATGACGAAAAAGGCAACGACACCCCTATTTAGGTGAAGGAAAACCAACCCGACAATTCAATGAATCTGGCCCGGTCTCTAACATCGGTCAGAAAAGGAGCCCCTAAGATTTTTGTTCTCCTAGCTAAAGATGGGGACTGACATATGAAATGGAAAACAGTTGCCTCCACATCTTCTACCTAGTCTCACAGCATGTCTCCCTATTAAGTAGTGACCTGTCAGCACCGATACCGTAGTGCTGTGCAGATTCCGTTTTAGCCGGAGTAAAGGACTTACAGGAGCAGAATAAAATGTTTATAAAGTCCTAAGAATTAACTTGTCTAATGAAAGTATCACGAATCAAAGCCGATTACGTATTTAGTAAATATTTTTTGCTTCATTACGTTGTTTTTTATTCAAAATAACATACTTTCATCTTAAGTGTTCTCAACCATTCTGATGTTGCCTTATTTTAGAAACCTGATTTAAATAAATTTATTGAAATTATTTGAAAACATTTAATTCACAGTTACCACCTTCTATTCAACTTTTACATTTGTCCCTACAGAAGTACTTATGGAAGCAATTATTCCAAATAAAATCCTGTTTAAGCTTATGGTTTTATATTTTAAGTAAGCGATATACTTTTTCAATATCTTCACCATATATGGAATAAAGACATGAGTAAAATAAAAATTATTTATTCCATTAATTCACATATATTTGTTGTAGGCACGTAAGCTTTTACTGTTTTAGCCTGACAAGATGCTTTCATTTAATTATGCTATTATATTTATTACGAAAACGTCATTTGCTTTTAAGGATGGAATATATTCAGCTTATGAAGTACTTTTTTTATTTTTTTGAAGATTCCCTAAAGAAAAAATTCATGCTTAAGGGTGAAAAAATCTAAGGTGTTTCGTAATCAATCATTCGAGTATCTAATAGACACATAATCAAATTTTTAATTTAGTTCATTTTATTACTTAAATAGAAATAATAATAATGAAAGTAATAAGCCGGGTTTCAAGTGAGGGTTTTCGCAGCGGCTCTACAGTGAACACAGGACGTCAATAAGTTTCTTTTAGCTTTCTGAATGCAACGCAAAAACTATCAGTTCTACAATATTATTAATCCATCTTCTTTAAGGCTGTAGAACGTATTAAATTCATTAATGGTTGAGTTGTCATGTTATTTTTAAAGACCTCCTCCTTTGGTTATATTTCAATGCTTGCTGATATATTCTAGTTAGTGATTTTCTTAGCGTATATCCGATGCATCCATATGCCTTATTTAACCATGAAAAATATAAACTAACAAACAAATCTTCAGAAATTATTTCAAAAATATCATTTACGCCCTATAGTTGGAATTGAAATTACTTCATATTAAAATTTTTGTCAATTATTTTACTCGAAAAGCCTTATGAATTGCATAAATAAAAATCAAAATTCAATTAAGCCAAAAACTCAATTAATTAAAATAATACAAAAAATAAATTTTTGTTGTTGCAGTTCACTACTGTTCGAAAAAAACCCTCTAATAAATAAAAAACTTAATTTTTAATTTAAATTTGATTAACAAATATTGTATCAATAATTGTTAAATGAAACAAATTGTTATTAATTTATGAAATAATGGAAATAATTGCATTTTAAAAATACAAATTATGTAAATCATGTGTACCAATTATTAATTCTATTCCAATCGTGTTAATATTTCATCCTCACTTATTTTAAATCCAATAATAATGTAATGCGTCCTTCAACTAAGCTTAAGTGTGGAATCTTCATTTTCAACTAATCAAGCGCAAGGATATGAAAATAGAAATAACACTTAACATCAATTTGGAAACTTAGCTAAATCACTTAAATCACTTTAAATCACTTATTCACTATTTTAAAAATAGGAACTTAAGTCCTATTTGGCTTTACAAAGTTTTATAATATCCAATAATTTTTCAATTTCAAGTTTTCCTTATTTAAATTAAAACCCAATATACCATATTTGAACAATTGGTTCAAATCGTTACTCAATAATGATCATAGAGATCATTATGCGGCACATAGTACAACAATTGCGTTACAGGAGCATCCGAATTCAATAAAATTTGTGGTGTTATTGAATAGGGGCGCATAAAAAAATTTGAGGAGTCGATTTATTCTTATAACATTTATGAAATGAGTGATAATTAACATCTGAACACAATCATATTTCATTATGTTTGGTGTTGGGAGTGCTTGACAATCGATCTGCAGTTAATTAAGAATAGGATTACTATTTGTGATATGGAGCTGAAATAAGTATGATGAATAGATCATAAAAGGACAGGATAC